TTTAGACTTCTTCTGAAACCAGGCTCTTGTTTAATACAAAATAGGATGTCAGTTGATCAATATCCATTTGGCTTAAATTCATAAGTCCACAACCTCCCTTAAGTAGTAGAACAAACAGGTACAAAGCCTGAAAATTTATTGTTTCTTTTTAAACTCCAAATGATATTTGCAGATGCCAAAAGGCATTTTGAAATCACTCACCCTTACTTCAGTAAAAATGAAAAAGGGGGATGGGAGGAGGGAGAATCTCATGAGGCCTTGTATGTCAAGTTTTTGCCCAGAGCTAATTTTCATAGCGGTGTTATAAAACCCTGAAAAGGGAGGTTTATAATGGAAATGCTGACAGACCCTTAACTATAGCAGCATGAATGGATATAATTAAAGAAAAGCTTTTGGCTACACCTAACTCCACAAATGAAAGCTGCCATTTTTATATTAACCTCAAATAACAGCAAGTGAGAACCAGAAATGGGATTCCAGAAAGGTAATGTGAAATGTTAAAGATGACTGCTAAAAACTGCTTGACATTCGAAGTTTTAAACACGGAGGCATTTAGTTAACATACCCAAGTCAGTATTTTCATAATGCTACTTAATCAGCAATAAAGAATGCTCTGGTGAGCCATCAGCTCCAGTTAGCAGAAAGTGGCATATGAAGTTATTATTTCTTAACAGCCTAGAGGGAGCCGCTTCTCCCTTTAATCAGTGATCTTCGTTCCTTCCTACCTATAATTTCTCTGTCATACAGTTATAAAACTATTATCCAGTTCAACATACACACTCACACATCCTGCACACACATTTATGCAAGGACTGGTACCTTATTCCCACCTGAATTTGAAAACAGAAGAGATTGCTAAAGGTAAAGTATTTCATGCTTTTCCTTTTCGGGGATGCAGCCAGGAATAAATATCATCAATCTATGTTACCCATCTTCCTTATCTAAACCAAAATTCAAAGAATTTAGCTCTGTTCTTAAAAGGTGTGTGTGTGGGGGGGAACTTTAGTTTTTATCAAATATCAAAATATTTTTGAAACTTTCAGTAATATTAAAATAGCATACCTAAGAGGCTCCTATGAAAAGATACTAAAAGAAAGAAGTTCCAGATTTTGGGTTAAGAAATTAGGAACAGGGGCGCCTGGGTGTCTTAGTCGGTTAAGCGTCCGACTTTCACTTAGGTCATGATCTCGCGGTTCGTGGGTTCGAGCCCCGCGTCGGGCTCTGTGCTGACTGCCAGCTCAGAGCCTGGAGCCTGTTTCAGTCTGTGACTCCCTCTCTCTCTGACCCTCCCCTGCNAGTCTGTGACTCCCTCTCTCTCTGACCCTCCCCTGCTCGCGCTGTCTCTCTCTCTCTCTCTCTCTCTCCTAGAAATAAATAAAAAAACATTTAAAAAAAAAAAAAAGAAATTAGGAACACAGCTCTACGGTCAAATATTTAAAGGACTTTTTCTTGTGTTTCCCCTCTCTGTCTCCTTTCTTTTTAAGTTAACAATCCTGAATGATCTCTGGGGTTCTTTCCCCAAAGATCCCAAACTAAAAGCATGTTCGTCTTCATGGCAACTGCCTTGGAAGCCCTAAAACTGATGAAATAAAACAAAACCATCGAAGTCACAGTCCCTCTTATTATATACTGTAATCAGTCTCATTGAAGAACTGCGTGCAAATTACAGTGCAAGCTTCAGAAAGTTAAAGGATGGCAGTGCCTACACGATGATAACATTAATGAAGACACTCCTCCCCCGCCTACCGCACTACTTTTTTTTTAATGTTTATTTATTTTGAGAAAAAGTGTGAGCGGTGGAGGGGCAGAGAGAGAGAGGGAGGGAGAGAATCTCAAGCAGGCTCTGCACTATCAGCACAGGGCCCAATTCCACAAACTGTAAGATCATGACCTGAACCAAAATCAAGAATCGGACACTGAACTGACTGAGCCACCCAGGAGCCCCATGTTCCACTGTTTTTCACACATTGACTTCATACTTCTCTCTGCTAAAAATGCTCTATAATTTTGGCAACTGAAGTGATACATGATTAGACAGTCACTTATAGCAACTGTTTTTAATCATAGCTGAGCATTATAAAACAAAACTAAAAGTAAACATTTGTGCAAGGAATTAAATGTTCTCAACATAAATATGTGTCTTTTTCATAGGTTAGCCTTACAGACCAACAACACACTCCTTTCCCTTGCTCTAGATGATAGTAAATTACAAACCCAAATGGGATGTAGTTAAAAAAATTCTAATATAAAGGTATGCTTGCTTTCCCCTCATATAATCAATCATCTTCAACATGCACCCTTAATTCCTACCTTTGTACTTGATTAGTAATGCCCATGATTACCAGAGATTCATTATAGTTTATAAGATACTTGCAAACAGAATTTATCCAACATTCTAAATAGCTTTGGCTTTAATGCTAAAGAACTTTTACTAAATTGAATTTAAAGAGCAAAAATTTGTTTTTATTATAAGAAGTGAAATTTAGATGGATGCAATGATGCTGATAATAAATCAAAAATAAATTATTGTAAATAAAACATGATTTACTTGTTTCCACCCCTCTTGGGGATTCATTTTTTTCATCTGATGACTCATTAAAAATATGTAACTTGTAAAAACATAAAAACAAACTAAACAAAAAGCAACTATCCCTTTTTTCAGTAGCAAAAAGAGGTAAAAGCACTCAAATATATATGAAAAACAGTAACGCTTTACAGTTTACAAACAGTTTGCAAATACCATTCATTTAACTGCTTACTGATTTATTTAAAAAAATATATATAGTGGTTTGGTTAGTTTCTGTATAGTTATTTGTAAACTATTATAAAGATAGTGTAAGAAGGTAGCTATGATTAGAGTCTGAGTGGTGATACTGAAACTTATTTTAGTAAGTTACAAAAAGCCCGTGTTTCCATTTCTTCATGTATAAACAGGCATGACAATGTTGGCAAAGAAATGAAGGAAACAGTATGTGTACACTGTATGTCTTTTAAGAACACAAGAATTATTCTTGTGTTTCTAGCTATCATTTTTGAAGAATGACCAAAAAAGTCCTAGGTAGGATCTTAAAGATAAAAAGAAGTTAGTGAATGAACAAGAAATAAAGAAAAAAATTCTTACTTTATTTTTATTTACATTTTTAAAGCTGTTCCAACTTTTGAAATAAGTCCTGTTCTCCTATTACCAAGTTTCCATTAACATTTTCAACAACCTTCTGGGTTTCTTACTTGACAATGCATATTTTCTAAGTATACTCTATATGCTAATCTAAAAATGACAAAGGAGACTTTCTCATATACTATGAGGGAGTAAAAAATTGGCACAAGTTTTTTTTTGGGGGGGGTAGAAAATCTGGTAATATCTATCCACATTTAAATGTGCATATACCAATTCATTTTTAGAAATTAATCTAAAGATATACTTCCACAAGTACACAGAAAAGGCACATATAAAAATGTTTTATAAAATTATTTAAAATAACATAAAGGGGTAAACAATATAAATTGACATTATTAGAGTATTGGTTAAATAAAGTTTGGTATAATCATATAATGAAACGCTAAGTAGACATTAAAAAGAATTAGGTTTCTATCTACTAACATGGTAAGCTGCCAAGGAAATAGTAAATGAGTAGAACAAAGGTCATCTGTTTTGTGTTTTTAGCTTATAAATAATAAAAAAAAAAGTGTTGAAGATTCTATGAGAAACCATTTTACTTCTATGGAATAAAACGGAAGTGGTATTTAAGTGGATCTAAAAACATTAAGTCTTATATGGGTGCCTGGTGTTATAAATAAAACAATCCTATTTTTTAAAAAAAATTTTTTAGTATTTTATTTATTTCTGAAGGGGGGGAGTGAGAGAGAGAGACAGACAGACAGACAGACAGACACAGCAGGGGAGGGTCAGAGAGAGAGGGAGACAGAATCTGAACAGGCTCCAGACTCTGAGCTAGCCATCAGCAGAGCCCGACACGGGGCTCCAACCCACGAACTGAGAGATCATGACCTGAGCCGAAGTTGGACACTTAACCAACTGAACCACCCAGGCGCCCCAAAACAATCTTATTTTAATCTCAGAATAAATTGTTTTATCTGGAAATATTTCAGTAGTTGAGGCTAGAGCTCTGTAGCAAAATAATTTAAAAAAGCTTACCTTTTTTCTTTTAATGGTACAGTGTGGTCAAACTCTCTTTATGGGCACAAAATGTTTATGTTTCAGTAGAAGCCACCTTAGAATTGAGCTCATGATCTAAGTGTCCATCAACAGACGAATGGATCAAGAAGATGTGGTTTATCTATACCATGGAATACTACATGGCAATGAGAAACAATGAAATCTGGCCATGTGTAGCAACATGGATGGACCTTGAGGGTGTTATGCTGAGCGAAA